CGGGTCATATACGTCTCCCTCCCTCCCTCTCTCTCTCTCTCTCTCTCAGAAGTGGAACCAACAACCCTGTCCCCGAGAGCGGGACCGTACTGTCCAAATTGATGGTACCGCGTATGTGCGTCGAGTTGCGCGCGTGTAGTCAGCCAACCAATCGCTCGAGATTTGTCGTGGCCGCATTAAAATGCGTTTTATGATGAGATTTCGTACATAAGCGTCAGCTTATATTTCGGCTTCAGCTGTACGCGTTAGAGTCTCCTCCTCCACCGAGGATTTATCTCTCTTCTTCTATTCGGTCGAGTTATATTCAATTTGCGTGTCCAGTCTAATTTGAATTTGACTGGCTAGACCACTCTCCACGAATATGTATAAGAAGTAATTACCTTCACTGTTTAACGAAAATTAACTTCTGATTAATCGAATCGAATTTCAACTTTACTCGACTCGATAAGCGAAGACTCGCAGAGAGCTCCGCGAGGATCAATTTTTAGCAACGAAAGTAACTTCGTCGTCGCGACTTTCTCCAATCAATTACACCAGTCGTGTAAACCTATTCCCGAGGTAAACGGGACAGGAAACTCGACTTCGCTGGGAACTCAGCCGCGCGGATGGAGGAGGAGATGAATTTTCGGAAGCCATTCGAAAGGACAAGTTCGCCGGCGGGCGACAATGAACGCGCCTCGTTCGAAAATGAGTCGCGCCCGTTGCCTGTACTCGCGCGAATGAACTTGAGAAACTGGAGAACACGGAAGAGAAACGAGGATGCGCGATTCAGGTTCTAGCGGTTGTTGAACGCCTCGCGTGACGTAGCGTGTCGCGGCGCGCGCGCTCCTCCGCCGTGGTGTTGGTGGCGCGTGTGACGTCACCACGGGATGGGTTGGTGCATCGGAGCCGGCGATAACGACGAAGAAGTCCGAGAGATGCAAAGAACTTCCGCGTTCCTCGAATCAGAACGTTTCTTTGGAGCGTTTGTTCAGCGATCGCCTTTATAAAACGTGATCCATACACACACGGATGCCTCCGTCCGTCTTCGATCTTCATTAAAAATCGTCCGCTTCCGAAGTTCGATCGAATCGAGATTCGTCTCGCCAATTAACCCGCGTGCACAACGATCAATTCAATCGACTCGACGTAGAAGGCGATCGCGAGGGGGAAGATCATGCGATAAAAAATTGGTCATTTTCGTCGATGCAGTACGCGTTCGAAGGGGGAAATTACCGATCACTGGCTTCTGACGATTAAGAGAATTGTAAGCTTTGGTGGAGTCGAGTATCAATTTGTCGAAGGGATCGTGCAGTTTTCTTTCGGACAGCGGGTAAGATCTGCGGTTCTCGATCTTTGCATCTGTACTCGGCAATTATTGAAGAAATTTACAGGAAGTTGAAATTTAACTTTTCTTCGTAACTGATAACTACCATCGATCGTACCGTTTCGTTTCTGTGGCTCGTAATTTCAAACGACCGATCGAGAGAGCATCGATGGATGAATGAATTAATCAAGAGTAGGAAAAATTTTTGATTCGTTAAAATAAGTCCGATCCCGCAGTAAATTTCGCAGTGCACTACAAACATGGTGTGGTTGGTGTTGCAGCCGTTAAATTCGGGCGCATGTCGAAGAAACAGAGGGAGAAGGTCGAGGACGAAGTTAGGTTCCACAAGGCACAAATGAGAGCGGCCTCCGAGACGGCGCCCGATAGCAGTGTATTTGAACACCAGACCCCGAGCAGTTCGGATCAACATCACCCTTTTAATGGCGGGTAAGTCTTGTTAAAGTAATTAAATACTAAACGTAAAGTGAAAGCTTCAGAAATTTAATTATGTACGGAAAAAACGAAATAAATATAATTTGTAATAATATCCAAATTACTTTTATAATTCTATATTAATTTTATTGAAAATCAAGCTAGGTACCATATTTTGTAAAATTGCTACTTCTCTGCAAATTGTTAATTCGTGTTTCATCTCGCGCGCCTGTTCATCCTCGTTTCGATGTTTTTTTTCGTTGCGACAGGTACACGTACGGCGGCAGTGAATACGCTTCTCCCGGTCCCGGCACGGGTGGGTCGGGTTATTACAATCATCAAGCGATGACCAACTACGAGCTTAGCGCCGACTACGTGGACAGCACGACGACCTACGATCCGCGACCGACGCAGACACAGGTCGCGGACACTGTCGCCCCTGATACACCCTCCGCTGTCACCGCGACTGGGGTACTTCCCAGCGTGGTCACCACCGGTGAGTATTCTCTTCACGAAATTCCCTCCATTCCGCACCTCCATTTCTTTCTTTCTTCGGCGAAGCAAAAACCAACAACGCTTCTAATATATCTGTCTTTCTCTCTCTCTCTCTCTCTCTCTTTCGTTGTCCGTCTCTCGAGAAAGCTTGACTTTACATTTAGTTACACTCGATACATCCGTGTGCTCCTCGTACGAGAATTGTGAAATCGTAAGTTAACGCAAATCCAAGTTTAGCGCGTTGCGCAAGAAATTTGCAGATCCAGTGGGTGCGTCTTGTGCTCTAAGGAGAATTCGAAACATTATTGTTGTTGACGAGGGATTAATTAGAAACAAAGTTGCACCACCGGATGTTTGAGTTTCTTATGTCATCGTTGGCTCGAGTCCTGCGTGCTTTCTGCTTGCTTTCAATCCATCCGTTTCAATAGAAACCCCTCCCAGCCCCCCCGTCCTTGTTTTCGTTACATACGTCCGAACGTCACTGCGAACTTGCCACGATTTTATTTGGAAAAGTTTTTCAGAAAGTTAGTGACGATGTATAACGAGATCTTTCCAATTAGTCTAGTTTATTGGATGTAAAAGCTTGGAGTCTTCCTCTTTTTCGAATTCGCTCGAGATACCACAAAAACTTTTCATCCTCAGTTTTACGTTTTCCAAACAGACGATCCGTAAAATCGTTCAAACGTCGCGATATTCCCGGAATCGCGCAAATAGTAGTTTACATGTTTCTCGTATATATATTTTCAATATTTTGATCGAACACACCGGGAATTTGATCGACTATAAACTGACAGACGTGGCTGAGCAAACTCCGTAGTTTATATAGTTTCATTGAAGTTTATTGTTAACGAAAGAGCGGTAACGAGATGTCAATCGATGAACAAACAGCGCCAAGTAGTACTGGTCCCTTTCAGCAGCATACGGCTGATACAATTACTGTGTTTATCACTGCCAGTTGACTGCACCACGCATTCAGCGAATAATATCGATACTGGTGGCTACGAAGTAGCGTTATAGTCGTTATAGTCGTAAAGATAGAATTAAATTTTCGTTCAAAAAGCGTCACGATGATTGCAATGAATTAAACGTTTAAAAAGGTTGTTCGTTACTTAGAATAACTTCCCCTTGGACATTGGAATTATCGAATCATTTAAAACGACTGGTACAAAATCTTTTTATTTTTGCAGAAAAATGATTTTTGATGATACCAATCTTGAGTTCTATTGAAACGGAAGTACGATTGCATACAATGGTTACGAAGAATATTTGAACAATATACTCCTATTATTGCATAACGAGGATTTCATGAGGATTCTCAAAATTATTACTAAATTACACGAAATACAGCAATGGTGTGGAAATACTTTTTGTAACTATGGCATTACCTATTTATTCTCGTCACATTGCTTAGGCTAGTCTATATTGCTCTAATCGCAAGTTTTAAGAACGGCAGAACCTTGAGTTTTTGGTCGGTTACTCGAACTAATGACGACACACGCTGTTTGGATAATTAAACGATTACAAACGAGAACAACACTTCTCTTTCAGTTCTTATTCTTATCTCTCAATCGTTCCGAGCATCCCGAAAATTCTCGTTAATCGACATGTCCTGGTAAATCGAAGCTCTGGCACAGTTGCACTCACTAACACTTCATAACCAGAGAGCGACAATCCCCGAATTCCCATCTACCTCCGAAAAAAAGAAAAGAAAAGGAAAAAAAAAGAAAGAAAGAAAGGTGGATCGATCGCAACCGCATTCCATCCTCGGGAGGTTCTTCGCCGTCCGGTTCCATCTATAAATCCTGCAGCAAATCCCGTGTCATCCCGACGAGCCGACAAACTCCACCTCCCCCAGCTTTCGTTCGACCAAAAACTCGAGGATCCGCTACATCTAACCGTGTATCTGAGTAGCGTGATTTCTCTCTGCGACCGGTAGAAACAAACGAAAAAAGGAAAGAAAAGTAGTCGCAAAGAGAAGGAAGAAGCAATGACGAGATCGAAAAATGGAAACAACGACACGCGCGAAAAAAAGAGAGAAGTGGAAAGTGCTACATGTAGCGGCGGCGGAGAGAAAGAAAATAGGCAAACGGTTGATAGAGATGAACCGAGTGAACTTTGACTTTTCGCGTACCAGGGAAGTCGCTGTCTGCCTCGACGACCGGAAGCAGCACGGCTGGCAGTGGTGGTGGCAGTAGCGGCGGCGGAGGCGGCGGAGGCGGTGGTGGCGGTGGTAACGGTGGTGGATCCGGTGGTGGTGGTGGCTCGGGTGGTGGAGGGAGCGGTTCTGGCACCGGCGGTGGCGCGGCTGCCGGTGGCGGCGGCGGCGGCGGTGCCGGTTCCCTCAGCGGGGGTGGAATCGTTGCTGTGAAGCAAGAGACCACCGTCGAACTGGCCAGCTTGGGCCACGGCTCGTACACGATGGTCGACTCGACGACCTTTCTGAGCGGTCAGCAACAGAGGGTCAGCAATCCATCCGAGGACGACGAAGTGCCGAGTCTGCCCAGTATGTCCCATGCGAGATGTGAGGTTACGTTTGTGTCCCTTTGCATGGGCATGCGTCGC